GAAATCAGGAATAACACACAGTTTCCAGACAAACCCACCCAATCTATGGATGCCCTGAAAACAGGCAGAGCCATCAGACGGGGGTTTCTTGTTCATGTGGCAGCTAGGGGCTTGCTAGTGCTACCTGAGGAATGTTTAATCCCAGCAGTATGCCTCCTGTCATCCATCACTCCGGAAAAGAGAAATGCCAGCGCTGATCTGCGGTTCCAGCAGGAGTTGGTAGTTACCTTCTTCCCCCTTGCTGGTTTGGAGCGTTGGAGGCTGGTGGTCCCTCACAGGGTCAGAGTGGCTGGGTGCTGGATAGCCTGACCATCCAGGTCTTGCATGGTGCAGGTGAGAAAGAGGGGACTGGGTGCGCCTGACACTCACCTGGCACAGAGGTCCTGGCTGGGAAGGTTGAGCCAGGGTAGTAGAAGTTGTGAAAAATCGCCGATTGCTGTGAAATGCCTTACAGAGTAGTCTACTTGGAGTAGTCCAGTGCAGATGTGCCGGGTGGCCTCTCTGGAGAACTTGACACAGAATACTCCAGCACCCCACTGATGCAAATTGGAAAAAATCCTACCGAAGGGAGAAGTTTCTGCTGTGATGCTGTGTGTATGGGACAAAAACTAGACTTGCAGATCTATTTAATGTTTGTATCTGAGAAGAAAAACATCTAGAGGGCATGCTGTGGCAGGTATTTTTAATCATTGTCATCTGGGTTTTCATTTTAATAATGACATCGTGATCTGACTAACTCAGGGACAACAATAAACAGCCTTTTTATTGTTACAAGATTTCTCTCGGTAGGCGGCTAACCTGAGCAATTGCTTTACAGCAAAGACAGAAACAGAAATTTAATGCAAACGCTGTGGTGTGTTTAAAGAGTAAATGCTTAATTTCACCACAAGGGAAACCTTTGTGCTATAATAATTTTCATAGCTTCCTCTTGCATAACCAGCAAAATGAATAATACTAGAGCTGGAGGGCCCAATTCTCTCCTAATTAATAGTGGTGTTTTGCAGGTATGAGTCCATTGACTTCAATAAATAGACATAAATGAAAGAGCTGAATATATATGGCGTCTTGGGGCAGAGTAACAGCAGACAAAGTAGATCTGCATATTAAAAATAGCCACATATAATGATTTTTGTTAATATTGTGAAGCGTCCAGTAGAATAATTTCTTACTCTAAACCTATCGAAGGCTCCTGCTGCAGCCTGCGAAGGAGATCCTCCCCTCTCTTTGCAGGATGTGGGGCTGTTTCAGATTCTGGCTGGTAGAACTGGGAGTATTTCAAGGGAGTACTTTGTGATGAACAATATGTTTGACTGATGACATCAACAACTGAAGTGTGGTGGAACAGGGGTACCACCGACAGCAGTGTAGGCTTTCTCTGTGTGGCAGTAAAGTTTAGGGCTGCCACCATCCACAATTGTCCCAGCAGAATGGTGTTTAGTGAATTGTACGTAGCAATGGTTGTCTCTAAACAGAAGTATCAGTTAATCATAAAATTAACACCATGCAAAGTAGCCTTGCTGAATGGAGACGCTGACAGTGTAACATCCGTGTCGGAGCTGGTTGCTGAGGCCCTTTTTGTAGTCAGTGGAGAGAAGTAAGGGTTCAGTTCCTCTCATCCTAAAGCGGGTGTCTGACAAGGTGAACTGATTTGTGATCCAGATGTGCCTGTTAGTTAGGAGTGTTGGGGATGGTGCGTGTGATGTCCAGGTGGAGCTCACTATGATACCTGTCTGAAGTTAGGTGAGGCGAAGCCTGCTGTACAAGCTTCTCGCATCCAAGCGAAGGTGAAAATTCCCATTTGGCTTATGGCCTTCACCATTGTAACATAAATTATGCGTAACTCACCTCAGTAACTTCCAGAAGGTTTTTTTTTTATTCTTTTTTTATCTAGAAATTGTGTCTGGCAGGGTTGGTTGCATCTGTTTGTTGTTTTTTTTTTAAGGCTGACCTTTTGTTCCAAAGCATTTACAAAACTTACTGTCACGGATTTAGAAGAGATTCTGCTTGACATGCATTTTGTGTGACTGAGTTATCCATTACCAGGTGAACAAATACCAGTTCAGTGACGTTTGTGGTAGGAGACAATAAACTCTCATGAGTTTCTTGCCATAACAGAAGTTTTGGATGTGTTTTTCTATTACCGCTAGTGTTACAAGGAGTCTATTAGAAGCAAGTTTAGATTTCTTAATTCAATGGTAAAATAGATGCCTAGAAGCCCTTTGAATCTGGCAAGCTTCACGTAGGACTTTAAACTTAGTGATGAATCTTCCCTGAGAGACAATTGACAGTCAGAGAGTAAAGGCTTAAATGTTTTTTCCTGTCCCTTGTTTTGCCATTTTGAAGAAAAATACAAGTTCATATACAACGTCCAGGTAGTTACAACCTCTATGGTAAGGTTAGAAGAAGAAGAGCCCTAGCTTAGGTTAAACACTAAGCATGTGAACGATATTTAAATTATTTGGTAAGCCACTTAACTAAGGTGAGAAAATTGTGTACAGAACCAGTGCATGAGCTGCTGGCTGGCTGGATGTAATGAATGTATGAAGTACCTTATGGATAAACTATGTAATGAACTATTTAGGTGGGTGTATTACGTGTATCCAGTTGTCAGAATTTCCCCTGCCCTGCTCTGGTAAGCCAGAAGAGTTTTCTGGTGGCCTTAAACTTCAGAAGCAAATAGTGGTTCTCACGGTCTTGTCTTAAGCAGTTACCTACAGAGTACCTACTTATATTTAGTACACAGAGAAGAGCCTCCCTATCCCCAAAGGAGCTGCGGAGTTGGTTCTGGGAAGAGTGGTCTGTTCTTGACTTCCCTATACACTGAAAGACAGGTGGAAGAAATTGATTCAACCACTTATGTTGCTTGTATGATTTCTCGTGGTGTTCATAAATTCAAGTGGATGTGAGTGCCACGCTTTGTGCTGGACAATTCAGCGTTGTCCTGATGTCGGGAATTTTCTGATCTTGCATAGCTTATCGCGCCCTACAAGTTTTCTGGTGTGCAGCCACCTGTTCACCAGTCTTAGGTAAACTGGTTAATGGGTATGTGTGAGGGTACTCAATTCTGTCTGCATCATGCTGACTTTCGATATGGATAGTATTAGCAGTTGAGGGATTCAGATAACTTCAAACGCAGAAGGGCAAGTATCAACAGCCTCTGAGTTGCCTAAGCAATTAGGCAACGGTTTTGTGACTTTCACTCCAGCATCTTAATTGTCCTAATTCCATCTAAACTGTATTTTGGTTGCTTAAGTGTGTTTGTGGATCTCGCCCATTACCATCAGGTAATCCACTGCCCTGAACAGAGAACTATCCTGAAACCGGTACAGATGTAGGAAAAGTTTACAGCATGTTAAAATGGTCATTTTTATTTATTTATTTATTTTTAACCCAGATACTCTAAAGTTTCAATGTAGTGGAAACCTTTGTTGTGTTCCAGTACTTGTCTTTTGTTTCAAGGGGATTAGAATAAGTATCTAATTATCAAATGTTAAAATCCCTAAAACGTGCCACATCTTTGCAGTTGTACCTAATAAAACTTTCTCCAATAAATCTCAGAAGGAGATTGCAGTCAGTCTTGTGGTGTAAGTATTTTTACAGTTAGGAGGAAAATTGAGTTACTTGAATAATACTTTAGAATTAAGGTGGAGATATGCATATATTGTCATATGTCTATTTGTGTACATATATATATGTATATAAAAGGAAAGATACACAATCTGGATATAAAAGAGGTTTAAGTCCGTATGCACAAAACTGGCTGTGGCTTGGATTGCATTGCAAGTGAAAGTTGATAATTACTGGGTTCTGATGGTACTACTGTGTGCAAATAAGAGGAAGTGGAAATCAGCATTCTGATTTTCTATACTCAATCAAATGAAAGAAAAACAAAAAGAGAACCAAGGGTCCTGTACAACCTAGTTCTAAGTTGTAGCAAAGGAAAAAAAATTAAAAAACCTTCTGACAACTCCAGTAGGTCCTAGTGAGTCAAAATACTGAAACCAATGAGGTTTTTCCTGTGCAGAGATAACTGAGGAGACTTTGGTCCTGGCAGGGCACCAATATTTTGCCCTGTGAGCTTAAGAAAAAAAAAATACCAGAAAAAGATACTGGATAAATATGCACTATTTGAAATGGTTAAACACTCTACTAAAAATATATGTAATGATTTATTGTTGCAGGGGGAGGCCAAGTATGTTTCTGAATAAGAAAAACATCAGACCAGAACTTTTTTCTAATTTAAGATTCGGATGCATCATCTTTCTGCAGTATAGTATGCCACTAGCTTTAAATAAAAGAGTGTATCTGTACAGAGCAGTCCAGCTGTGAAAGGAGAAAGGAACTCTTGCAGAACTCTGTGGCTGTAGCTAAAGTCTTGTTTACAAGAGGTGAATTCTGTGTTCTCTTTTCCATAGCAGCCACAGTAGGAATTAAGGTATGTGTACTTTAAAGCTTTAGCTTTTGAACGCGGTTGGTAGCAGCTCCTGCTTTTGATTTGTGGAACTCATCTCGAGGTGTCTTTTTCAAGAGAGTATTTGTGTGATACGTATTGAACTGACTGCAGAAACAAAAGATGGACAAGGTGATGAATCAAATTGAAGCCCTGCTAAACTAAGGGATTTTTTAATAAATGGGTCTACATACACCCTCTGCACCCCAAAAAATTGTAAGCAACAGATAATGAATGTTCCTAGAGGCTTAGGCAGGAGGGAGGGGAAAATGATCTTAATATGGTCTTTCTGCTATCCTGGCTCCTTCAGTAACAAACTGCTCTTCGTGGTGCTTTAGGAACTCCACAAAGGTGTTCTCTCTCCGACGATTTCACTAACGAAGCCAAAATGTGGAGGGCGGTGGCTAACCTCCTCCCAAGGGCCAAAGTCCGCGGGGGCAGGGCGTGCTGCCTGCCGCCGGCACAGAAGGGCAGGAGCCTGCTCGCTGGGACCACTCGGCATCGCTGGCGGGACGCTGCTCCGGGGGTCCGTGCCGCCCAGCCGCTCAGCATGAACCTGGGGATACAGAAGGTGGAAGCTTTGGACGCGGGTCATTTCGTCCGCGTGGAGTGGGAGGACGGGAGCGAGAGCCGCTACCCCTGCGTCTGGCTGAGGGACAACTGCCAGTGTCCCCACTGCTTCCTGCGCTCGGCCAAGGCGCGCAGGCTGGTCCTCGAGGACCTGGATGTGAACATCGTGGTGAAGGAAGTCGCTCTGGCAGATAGAAAAAAGGTATTTGAAGCAAACCTTCGTTTGCCCTCTCATGAAACTTGTCTAACAATGCTTGTTAATCTGTAAATTAGAGACGTTCCCAGGTTATACTTTAATCACAGTTTGTTTATCCCTAAACCCTACCCTGTATTTGCAAAGCTTTTAGATATAATTGCAAGTTGGGGAACTCAGATCTTCCCGCCTTTATATGAAACTTCACTTTATAGATGTTATGCAGAGAGGACAGAAAGCCAGGCTTTGGATTTTGGAATATAATTGTGCTCTTTAAAATTCTGCTGTATGCTGCTTCATCACCAGACGCTCAAAAGAAAATATAGGCATTCCCCACAGTTTCAGTTATGCTTTCATAAATACCTTTTTTGTCTCTTTATTCTGTAAGTAAATGTCTTGAAAATCAGAAAAACAAATGGCAAAGTGATGATAACCTTAATCCACAACGAAAATATCGGTTTATTAGCTATTTTCCAACGTGCAAAAGACTTCATCTTAGAGCAAGTGCTCAAACCAAAGTTGAGCCTGATATTCAGAGTTGGCCTAGTGTCTGTGTCTATATCTGTATCTACCTAGTCTACGTTAACGCTTGTTCGTGAAAAAGGGGATGCTATTGGGTAAAGAGAGGTCAGGAACTGCCTTCCCTATAAATTTTAATCTTTCCTGCCGTTTGAAACCTAATAGATCATTTAGATTTTATAGGTTTTATTAAAAACAGTACACGTCTCCTTTGATATGCAAATTCACTTCCTTCGTTTTAGAGTTAAAGAGGTTTTAAACATGTTGAAGATGCAGTAGCCAACCCTTTAGCAGCTGGGGCAGCCGGGCTGCGGGGCGAGTTTGCAGAGGCTGAGTCACGCGGGAGCATGGCTCGGGGTCTGTATTGAGGAATTCTGAGCTCCCAAGTTGATTGATTGTTACCCAAATTTATGCTGTGTAAATTCATGCTTTGAATAGGCAAATGTATTACTATAGTAGAGGGATTATCTACTTCTGCTTCTACTGAGAAACTGATGAAGGCATGGCACTAATCCTAAACTGATACTGGTGTTTTACCATCACGTGAGAAAGCTGAATTATGTGAAATGGGAATTGATACCTACTCAACAGCCCTGAGAATTCAGCTGAGGCTGTGTGCTGCACTGAGCTCTTTTGGTTCACGACAAGCAAAGCCATATACTTTCTCTCCGTGTTTTTTTCAGGAATAAAAAAAAAAAAAACCACCACCTTTTTAAAATTTGTTTGAAGGAGGGAAGACTTTTTCAAAACTAGGAGAAGGATTTCTTTTTTTTTGCCTGTATTTCTTCTCCTTTTTCTTTTTTAACAAGCTGTCTATGTTTTGGAAGATATTTTTGCTCTCTTCTGAGTTGTGGTGAAGCGCTCTCCCCAGCGGTATGTGCCAGCTTCTGTGATTCTCCTCTTTCTGCTAAGCACAGCTCCCACAGTGAAAGCCGCCCACGCAAAACAGCAAATTAGGTCATGGGTTCCTGTGAAAATGACCATATATAAAAGGTATCAGAATTTGGATGATGCTTAGGTTGGGTTTTCATTACTTGGTTGCCATTATGCTCCAGGGAAGGCTTAACGGGGATATTGATCTGAATATTACAATTTCTGTACTTTCTAAGGATTTTTTTGGTTGTTTGGGGTGATGTTTTTTGTTCTAAAATTATCTTTCATTTTATATTGGAAGATCTCTATTACATGGCCTGATGAACACGCAAGCGAATATGAAGCTGAGTGGTTGAAAAAACGATGCTTCTCTGAAGAAGCCAGAGCAGAAATGCGAGAAGATTTATTTTTACCAGGTAGGAATTAAAACCACATCTGTCATGCTTGTTTCAATGCGAGGGGTCTGGCACCGACAGTTGCGGCTAGAGATGCCTGCATGAGGACCAGGTCAACCCAGCTGGAGCACCAGTAACCACTCTTCCCTGCACAACAGGAACCCGTGGTTACTTGTTCCCTCTTCTAACCTCTGGACCTGAGAGGGGTTCAGCTGGGAGGGCTGTGTTTGCTTTCCTAAAAGCTTTTTCTTCAGAAAGGGTTAGTAGGTCTCAAAAGTGAGCCTTGTGGACCAGCAGTGGTCTGTGCGACAATGGAAGTGTGTGCGTGTGCTGTTTAAATTATTTACATTTTTATTTTTAGAAGACTATTTTGAATTGCGAGGGAGTTATGACTGAAAAAATTTAAAAAAATCCCTTTCCATGGCCTTCTGTTAAAAGGTTACTGTGTTGGCATAGCAGCATCTAGTGCTGAAGTTCAGGTTGTGTTTGCTCTGTGTCCCGCACTTATTGCAGTAGCTGACTGTCTTTTGGTCAGTGAAGCGTTTTGTGCAACCGGCAGTGTAACATTTACCCAGTACAAATCACTCACCCTTTTGAGTGAGTAATTATAAGCCCACTAGGTTTGTCCCGATGCACATCATCGTTCCTTTGGCAGCCTTTCAGATTGTGAGCGTGAAAAGTGTGAAAACTTGTAAGATTTCTGCTGTTGCTCTTGACAGCGTTCCTGTGAGATCTGCTGTTGCAAAAAGTTGTGGATCTGTGTTCTGAGTTAAGATTGTATCCGTTAAAACAGGATATTACTTTAGAAAAAAGAACCTAGAGGCAGGCTGATGGTGTGAAGCTCGGATCCAGGTATCAGTTTCCTCAGAGCTCAGCAAAAGGCAAATCCATTATTGGTTTATGCCCCTTTTTGGGGGAGTGTTTTTTATTCTGACAAAGAGAAGAAAGTTTGGTTGGTTGGGTTTTTTTCCCATGAAAGATGAGGAATGGGAAAATAGTGGCCTTAGGTATCTCCTGCATCTGAGCTCTGTTTGGTACTTTAGGGACAACTGAAGGGGCCAGTTATCTTTCCCAGTTTCTGCAGGTCAAATATTCCTTAGCTCCTAGAACCTGTTCTCCTAAGCAGAAGTCAGTTCTTAAGATTCGGTCTTTTATATCTGGCTTAAAATTTTAATGATGAGTAATACTTCCATTCGTTTCAGTGGATCATATCACAGACTTTTCATAGTTCAGAATTGAACTTTTTTCCCTCAGTGATACAAAAGTTTATGTCTATTTTAGCTTTGGCAAGAGTAAACTACGGTGTTTACTTATTTGGAGGGTTGGGCATGTTCCCAGATTGAACGTGATGAAGATGCAAAGCTCATTCAGGGCAACTAGACTTGATATCTCAGGAAGTAAGAATTTTTATTTGGAAAAATGAAGATGCTGTGAAAGCTAGCAAGCTGTTTTCTAGCCTTTGGGGGGACGTAAATGAATGTGAATTGAATGTTGCTGTAATTAATGCCCAGACAAATTAGTTTGGATCTCTGATTATGTTTATTAGCAAAGGTGTCAATAGCTGAGGTTTCAGAAGTTCAGATGTAATGCTACTTTTTTTCCCCATTATGAATCCTCCCTGGCTGTGGTTTGCCTTCATACACACACTTTTACACAGTGCTTACTCTCAGCATCTAAATGCAATGGTAATTTTGGGGGCCAGTTCTCCCCTCTGCTACTGCTGATGTCCAGTGAAGCTGTCTAGGTAAAATACACCAAAGATACGTTTTATTCTTCAGGCAATGCTTTTTCAAACTCTATATTCCATTGTAGATCTGAAGAAATATGTTTATAGAAGTTACACTAAACAAGGGCCTGCGTTAACTTTGGCTTTGTTTAGTGGGGTCATTCTGCTCTTCCTCATATTCCCAGACAAGATCTGGCTCGTTGTGACGAATGGCTTCTCCCAGCTTTTCTCAGGTTTCAGTTGCAAAAACAGGCTGCACGTGAGTTTGCTTGCTGGCTGTTTAAGACCTCTTTCTCATTGCGTATCGGGGTAAGTTTAAAATTGGCTTCCTTCTGGTCAGTGGAGTTACACACTGCAAATTACGTGCCCTTAAATAGCTAATCATATGCCAGCAGTACAGCGTTACAGACCACGCTATGGAATGCCAGCCCTGCATGCTGGTTCAACAAATATAACAGCAAGCTCACCAGACTGCTGTAGTTAGAGGTTAACCTTCACTGCTGACATTATCACAGCTGTGGCTTCCCCACCCCCACCTTTTCTTTTTTTTCCCCTTTTTTTTTTGTAAGTGGTTATTTGCTTTTCATGTTGCTTTTTTGATGGTTTTGCATCATAATTTCTGATTCAAAAAACTAGATGTCAGGCATGTACCAAACCAGAAAAAAACAGTAGGTCAGATTTTCACTGCATGAGGGAATTGTTTATAAATAGCTCTATGGCAATATGTCAAGATTTCCCTTTTAAAAACACTGCCACATCCTATGCGTGTAGTACACAGAGTCCACTATTTGTGTATATCGAGGCTTGTTTCAGCCCAGCTTACAAGATACTTCCAAACGGGCAGCAAAAGAGCCATCTTCTACTTCTCCAGTTCTGATGTCTCAAAGATACTCTTTTTTTCCCTTCCCCTCCTGTTTACTTGTGTTCTCCCCAACAAAAGTTGCAGGAATGGTTTACCACTTCGTGCTGTCTGATTTTGTGTGTGGTAGAGGAAGCTTGTGGGAAACACTGAGTACCCCAGGTGCTCTCCAGTATCCAGCCCCTCACTGCATTGCATTGCATTTGCTGAGGCTCATTTTCCAAGACACTGGAATCCCAACAACAGGGGGTGTGTGGGGGGAAAAGTTAAGTAATATCACAATGATATTTTCCTATTGGGTGGAGGAGAAGAAGATTCAGCAGAGGTAGTTCCTGGTGCTACTTAATATTTTTAACGTTAGGTTAGGTTAAGGTTTTAACCTAAGGTTAAAGATTTCAGGTTATGTTTGTCCTTTAAAATGTGATAATATGATATTGGAAGCTCCACCGAAGTTTGAATCAGGATGTTAACAGCATCAAGCGTGTTTTCAGTTTCTCTGCTAGGTCCTGAGAGATGATAATTTTAAGAGGAAGAAGTTAAAAGTCGTTGTTTACTAAGAGTTTTGTCATTTGGATTTATCCTGTAGTAATAATTAATAAGCACTGCCCCCATGAGTTAGGCTGCTGAATCCATAATTCACGATACGGGAAGAATGCATTTGGCCTTCAACAAACATTGAAATACACATTGTAGACAAAATTATTTTAGATGAAGTAAGTTAATCTATGATGTCTAGACTTTCTTTCTCACATGACTCCATATAGAAGGTTTTGACCAGCACTGTCCCGACCTGCATAGTAAACGGTGAATAATTCCGAGTGTTTGTTGATGCACGCACACCATCTGCAGGAACTGGGCAAAGGCCATCTTGTAATTTTGTGCAAACTCTAATGTAGATGGCTTTTTATGACTAACCTGGTATGATCAAGAAATGGGATTCCTTTCTCCCTCCTTCCCCACCCCAAATTATTGTTTTGAAATTGAAAGAGGCGGTGACTCATAAATTGTCTCAAAAGTATTTAATTCTTCCTATTTTGAACAACACATAGATCTGGGGGTTTATTAGTCGTAATGTAAATAGTCAATAAAGACACAAAATAATTCTACAAGGCCTTTGTTATTATCCATTATGAATTGTTCAGCTACATTTGTAAACATAAAGATTTTTAATTTGGCCACTGCAACTGTGCTGTGCAAGTGAGAACTAAGACTGCCCAGACACTAATGGCTCGTTCCCGTCTTTCTTACCCCGTCAGCTTTCAGAACGTGTGTTCTTAGGTTTCTGCTATAGTACAATGAAAATTATATTAACTGTGGCTATGCAGTGGGAAAAAGTATGCTATGCTGACATGGTGAAATAATGACGAACGTGAGTGGGATCAATTGCCACC